AACAGAGAAATATCCATTTTACTTTCAAAAAAGTGCTCCGTCACAATGGGGAATAGTGCTTGCCAAGGCTAAAATCGCACATTCTGGGCCACCGATATTACCTCAGAGGAGGATACAATTTTCAAAACTTAAAATAGCAACTGCCACACTTAAACTATTTTAGAAAATTACTTATCAATTTCTGCAATATCTGTAGCTCCATTTAAACAATTCAGTAAATAACTGGAAAGTGATTCTTCATATAATCTTTATTTTTTTTTAAATGTAATTATTCTGAATCAGACCTATGATTGATGGTTTGATTTTTGTCTGTTTTCCCACATGTAAGCAGTAATAGTGATTTTTGAGTCTCGGGATGAATAGGACTTGTAAAGAGAAAGCCATTGCTCTTGTTCAATTGCTTCTGTATTTATACTGTACTAGATTTTCTATGGATGATTTATTTATGCTCAAATGATCAGCATTTTAATTATTCCTCTTCAAGGTCTTTGAGGATTTATAGACATTTTAAAAAAAGAAGCTTAGATTTTGTTTCCATGTAGCTGAGTTTGTCATGTGTCGTCAACCGCATCAGAAAAGTGGTTGCAAACAGCCGAGGAACATCACCTACGTGCCTCTGTCTACAGAAAGCTCTCTTGAAAGAGCCCCCATCTCATCCTTAGTCCCCTGCCATTTTCTCAACTCAAACTATTCAGCAGCCTGCAGTACCTTACAATGGTCACAAGAGGGCTCTATGCAAAACTTGGAAAAACTCCCTACTGCAAAGCCTCCTTAACATCATCAAAATGCAACCACCCAGCTTTCCTCAGAAATGGGGTTTGAATGTATCACCTGTCCTACTAGTTTTTTTCAAATTAAAAATGAAATCACCTCAGATTTAGTCTTGAAACATGCTGCATGAAAGGCCTGGAAAATAATCTCAAAAAATGAAGCTCTTCTAGGAAACCTATATGAGCTTTGTAAATGAAAAAAGGAGGGATTGCTTCGAAAAAGCCTAGAAAGTATGATTTTAGTTCTGCAGAAGAGTTTTTGTGGTTTGTGTTCACATGGCTGTTTGCTGAGGGCCGCAGACTTTGGGCATTGAAGGGTTGTGTTATTTGTGACACACAGAAAAACCAATATGAAGTTTGTGGGGGCATTTTTAAGGAACAACAGAAAGCAGGGAGGAGAGATGGTTTTGGTTACACAGAATGACAGACTGCTAGAGAGAGAAGACCATGGCAAACAAACGTATTGCTTGTAATTCTGGTATACGTTCGCAAGATATCTTATTTCTATACTTGTGTGTGCATTTCACATGAACTAATGTATTGGAAACAGCTAGAAACAGTAAATTTTAATCAGGATGGCTCTGACATATTTGTGAAAATTTTGAGGATAAACCTTGTTTCCACAAGCAACCTACTGAGGTGTCATTTCTGATTCTAGGCTACACAGAGAAGCCAGGGGCCTTTTTTTTTTTTTTTCTTTTTGACTGCTCCCAGCCTATCATCATCCATGACTTTGATATTACGTGGTATTTCCACAAAGGATTGGCTTCTTCACTGAATGTATACTTGGGGAGAGATTGCCAAATGCAAAACAGACATGGGACTCAAGCTTTTAAGGAACTGAAGTGGAGGTTGGCACTATGTAGGTATCCTGGCACTGGTCAGGATCCATTTCTAGCAATATGAAAATATTTGTCATGCTAAATAATTTCTTTAGGTACAATTTTTGCAAAACCGAATCCTCCATTAATACCACTGATGTGCTGGTCTTCTCTTTTTAGAACAGGCTGCAGCTCAAAATTAATCATCGTGGGTTGTGAAGGAATGCAAAATAATAAATAAATAAAAGAATATAAAACTCAAATAAATAAATAATGGAATACATATTACAAATACACA